CTTGTTTATGCATCAGGAAGCTGGCCAAAACCTATCGACCGCCACCACGCCGACCCGCCAAACTGTCTGGCAGCAATATCAGCTGGCCTACTCAGGTCCGATGCGGGGGACGACAGCAAATGGCGCCCATGTCGGAGCCAATTAAACGACGCTTTGCACCCGTACCCAATGAGCGTCCACCTGCCGGCTTTGGTCGGTTCAGTTCGCCCTATCTTCCGGTTCAGGGCGTACCGCTATCGCAGTTTTCAGGCGAGCCACTGATTATCGAGGAGTCCCTTTACGACGACGTTCCTCCATCCTCTGTCTACCCCTCGGATGGGCAAGTTAGTTAACTGCAGCATACTAGAAGACTTTTAAAAAATGCCTCAGGGCAAAAAAACTGTCACGTTAGGGTTATGAACTTTGTTCAGTCAATCCTTTACTGGTTGTGCAAAGTCAGGCGTTTTCCAGAGGTAATGCTGGTACATAACGGACCTGGCAAGTTTCTTTTTTACGTTTATGACAGGCACGGGTATATGAACCCCCTAAACTACAGGGTGATTCGTGCTATATCTCAGAGGAGGAATCAGGCTTAATGTTATGAGAGTTAGGATTAAAATGGGAACAAGAGAACAGGTACTCATTGGAGCAAAGGGCAAAGCAAACCCGAAGTACTAGGAGTGGTCCATATTTACGCTTTCAACCCTGTTCCCTTTGACTGAAAATAAATGTTTGCTTCGGGGACAGCAGAGGTACTCGCGAAACCTTAGCTTTGTGACGAGGAGTGAAAAGATAAACCGAAATTCTACTCCTTAATTGAAGATTCCCTTAGCTATTTGCACGAAAAAGTACTAGAAAATAAACGGGCATTTGCAGCTTCTGCTGGTGTCAATTGTATTTACTGAAGACATAAAAACAGGTCTTTTCCAGAATCAATTTGGCTGAAAATTTTCGATACTAAAAAAGCTTCTGATGAGAAAAATCTTTATTTGTAGATGTTTAAGGGAATAATTCGAATAACAATAATTGGGAAGAATGGTAGGTAGATTTGTTCCTTTCAAAAGAAGCATCCCTTTATTCGAGAATACATGTGTACAAATAAATTGAAGCGCCTGTCATAGAACGGTGGCATATTTCTTAAAGTGAAATGATAAAATTAAAAAAAAGACAAATCGTATTGGCAAGCACCGGGGGCTGAAAATAGCTTATATACCATTAACAGAAAACCGTTGGGGTTTGAATTTGGTCCTTAGAAAAAAATAATTCAGTCGAAGTACGCTCACGGATCAGTAATGCGACCCACTCGTTCCGGTCTTACAGTCGAGTCCCACCAGTAGCTGCACAGGGGCTTGTCGCGTAAGCAAATAAGAATTGCCAGGAACGACAAGGGAGACAGGAATAATCTTTTCTGGCTGATGCGACGTCATCAGCCAACCATAACTAATCCTAGGTGTTGTATCACCTGAGGTTCGAATCTGCCACCTCCTGCTTAGATGTGGAACGCTTCAAGTTACAGCCCCAGGGGCTTGTTGTTTTGCCGGCTTGCGTGAATAATATTGAAATTCATCGATGAACGCTCATTGATGAGTTGCAGGACTAACTCTTCCGTTCTCGCCTATGGGTTCACGTTCAAATGTTGGCTAGAAGGGATAAGTGATTATGGCGCGAGGCGGGGCGTTTGTAGCTTAGCGGTTAGAGCGTTGGCCGCCGGTACGCGGGTTCAAATCCCGCGAAACGCTTCGAGTTTATTCACAATTGGGTCTACTCAAATCAAGATAATTGATTAGTTAAGCTGAGAATAAATATCACTTAATGATGGTAATCAATAGGCTCTGGATCCGCCGGCTGTTGTTGACAGTGGAGTCTCAACTGATCATTCGAATGTATCCTAGTCGTAAAACCCTTCTGGGTATTGATCATTAGTTCGGCAGCAATATTTTCTTCTTAATGTGCTTGCTTTGTCCGTGGTTTGAATAAGATGTTTGTTCATGTAAACTATGGCGCAAGGTCACCAGTCCGCATTCGGAAATGACTGCGCAGTAGGACTGTAACGTCGCACTGATCGTCGGGGAAAACATTATCGTGCTGACCATCAGATTTGCTGCAAAGGCGTTTCAGATGCATTCGTCTTGGTTGAAAATGACAGAAGTATCGGTGCGCAGTCGAAGGACGAATTATGTGCACAATGTTAAGCACTTTTCTGTTTTATTTCGTAGTTGGATCTGATATGTTACATTATTTTGAATATGCTGGTCGTGCGGCGAGGTAGCAAAAAGGCAAACGGCGCGCACTTTACAATGTACAAAATCATCAAGGTAGTTTTTAATCCGTCATATTTAATTTGCTATTGTCAACACAAGAATATGTTGCCTAAATTAGTTATAGCTTATGCGAACATAAAATCGGTGAAGAAATAGTGAACGAACACACGGATTAGTATATGTTTAGATGCACGTACCCTTAGGGGCGGCAATGATCGCGCCAACCTTCAGCACCCTCTCCTGTGTCCGGTCTTTTTGACTTCATCATGACATTGGACCCAGGTAAGGGAGAGGGCAAGAGTGTGTTAGATGATCTGCAAGTCTCCTACCACTTTACTCTTCATCACGTAAAAGAAAGTCTCCCTGCTTAACCTTGCTCTGTACCTCGTCGAAACCGCCGGTAACACTGTCAGTAAGTGAACTACATCGACACTGCACTATGTCACCTCTTGCATCTGTAAGTTCCCTGCTCTTATGAGACAGGAATTACATGAGGGTTTTAAGTCACGTCGCCAACGGCAACATTCGGTTTGCCTGGACACGTAATTGGTTTCTAAATATGGTGGACATATAAAGTGAGTTATATGGCACCAACAGAGACGTACTCTTAGTCTCCTCAGGATATACACTCAAGCACATTGGTGATTAGATGCTCAGTCATGACCTGTTAATTAGGTGTGCCTCTTAAAATTGTATGATCTGCCAGTAGCCGTGGTTTGAAGATTTTACAACCGAGGAGAATCGCCTGTCGCTTCCAGGACAGAAGGTTAGTCCGCAGTGGCTTGTTCTTAATGCAATATTTTGGAGATTAAATGAAGCCAAGTTTCGCTCCCGTGGGATTTTATTCTAGTGTAAGTATCGATTCGAATGCAGATAAATAGATAGGTTGACTGCTAACTTTCTTGGCCACTGTATACAAGCTCCATTTGAGTTGTAATACCTTTGTCTTCTGACTGGATAGTGCTGCGCCCGTAACTTACGAGTGAGGTAGACACTGCGTAAGGTCACCTCACTGAAAACAAACTCACACGTTAGGCAACATCGCGCAGTCTTTGTGCCAGGGGTGAATGCTGTCGTCTGCGTCGATAAAACTAATGTGTGAGGTCGAGTTTTGAAAGTGGATTAGCTGCGAACGTGCGTGAGAACATGAGTCTGTCTAGAGTTTAAAAGCCTAATGACGCACCTATGAACGTGAGGGAAGAGGGGGGGGAGTTAAGGCTCACTTAGACGCCGTGGAGATGGGGGGGGAGGGAGAGGCATGACTGATCACCGTAACTGGTTTGGGTTTATGTGCGAATTGCGAGAAAATGGGGTGAGTAACGCTGGTAGGTAGATTTATTTTACTTACACAATGACTGCGTAGTTATGCCGGGCTGTGAGGACCTCCAAGTAACTGTGTGGTCTACCCTAGCGCAAACAACGATCCTCCAACGCAATGAAGCAGGCCTGCGGAGCAGGCCTGTCGCAAGGTTAAAATTGGTCATACGTTTGTGGTTATTATAAGCAAGGGAGGTAGGTAGTGGTCTGAGGGAAGCAGCTCCAATTAGGTCATAAGCCAACTATGACGAAATTGATCTCTGAAGCAAAAATTATCCCTCAAGGCTTTTTGGATTATTTAGGTTTCTTGAGAGTCTCAACGTGGGCGCATTTTAGGTAGTTTGATTATGATTATGAACTGATTGCAGGAATAACCAGAGCACTACGACGAAAATGAGCGCAACGGACTGCTGGCTTTCTGACAATCATTGCAGAATAAAACTCATCTAACTGGCGAGAAAGCTAAACGTCTATTCAAGTAAACACACCTTACGAAAAAGTTTGCCTAAAAAATGGGTAACAGTTTCATTTTTGAACGGTCTTTTGAAGTAAAGCTTCCAAAAATGCTGTTTAAAAAAGACTGACAAGCGCTAATCTGATGCTTGCAGCACCATTAGCATCATTTAGTCAACCCCTTATTGTCGCGAGTGGAAACGTTAATGTCTACCGATTTAATCTCACCACAGAAGGAAGGCCCATGGTAGATGTGGTCACCAAGGTAAACTTACAAAGCAAGATCGCTATGCGAAAGAATATTGTCATTGGCAGAATCGCCATCTGCGCACATAACAGCAGGATGCCCCAGCCGAAAAAAACAATTAGTCTCATGGGAATAAAGCGTTACTTGTAAAGTTTCTTCAAAGTAAAAAAATAGTTGCGCTTACGTTTATTTTAAGGGTAACAAAGACTTATTTTCTGTTCTGATCTTATCCCTAAATTTACTTTCAATCTCGCATGGGTGGCGTCCTGGCAACTTTCATTCAAAGGAAGTTGCTACAACTGCATTTTATTCTTTCTCACTATCGTTCTGATTTTGGCTTCAGCTCGAGACAATTACTCCTTGAACCCTCTTGAAGATCAAAAAGGAACCATGCAGTAACTCCTGAACGTTTTGAACTGCTATTTCGAGGCCAGGGATCGCGTTAATAAACACATATTGTCGCAGATATTAAATTCCGTATTGTAATCTTTCAGCTAATTATGTTATTCTGTGACTTAGCTCAAGAAATTCTAAATGAACTCGTGAAAGGTGTTGTGTGGAGTAGAGTGAGACAAACTTCTATCGTATATCAGACATTTCAGGGGGCTGTCGTTTGGGTGCGCCGATTTTTTTTCGCAGTCGAAAACGGTTACTTTATTAGCAAATGACACGGAACCATTGCGTTCACATATGCTTCACAAATTATGGACCTTCAGGTTTGAGCGCAAATGCAGATCAGATCAAAAATAATTCCGAAATAAAAAAAAACATTTTAAAAACCAGAATTAAAGTACACTGTCTGTAGAATACATTTAATCATTAAACGAGCACAACGAACTATTGTTGTAATTTTATTCTGTTTGATATATCTGACTTTATGAAAATGTCGAAAATGAATAAGTAGCAATGTGTTGACCGAATATTGTTTTGACATTAGGCTGAAATAAATTTAATTCGAAAAAAGGCAAAATCTCCTGACAGAAACGTTCTGTGTTTGTTGTAAGATAATCGGTATAACCGCCCCACCTATATAATACTTTCAAGTAGAAAACGCTTTTCAAAATTTCGCGTTACC